GGTCCTTGCCTCCCCCTGCTGCCGGCTGAGCAGCGGCCACCTGCCTGCATTGCAACGTGCCTTCGTGATTTTGATTGTTTCAATACATATCGTGATAACTTCCTTTACCATGCTGTATTCCTATGTGTAGCCTCATAAAGATAACTTCCAGCATGATGTTGATCATAAGCTACCCTGTTCTGCCTCTCTGTTGTTTCTAGGTGAGCTGACACGAACTAATAACAGTCATATAAATAATTTGTGTAATTAATGGAATTATAGTTCGTAATTAACATATATAACTGCATGTCTCTCATTTCCAAGTGTTCTGCTATTTGCCTCTTAAAAATCCACCCGTGTAGTGTAGAGATACACTACAGTGAGGTACCCGTGATGACTCCTGGTTAGTATTCCAGCAGCTTAATAAAAGCTAGAGAAAGAGAAGGCTGAAGGGATGGAGGTGTTGCATGTGACCCAGGAAGCTCCTCTTGCCTGGGTGATGTGGAGCCCCATGCATGGCTGGAGGGGATCCTTCAAGTGTAGTGTAGGGTGCCCAGTACCATCTTCAAGCTCTGCTGGGAGAAAATTGCTTTGAGCCAAAGATCAGTCCCAAAGAGGTTGATCCCTATGGCTTCCAGAAGCACAAGTGTATGATTCAGGTCCAGGCAACAAAGGCTGGTGATGACAGGTTGATTTCCATGAGGAGAATGTCCTGCAGATACTTGCTGGAGGAATGCTGTATATTTGCTGATCCAAAAGAGAAAAATAATGTTGTCTAGCAGAAATTAGTACAAAAGAGTACCCAGGTATCGTCCTGAGGGATCTAAGCAGAGGGCAAGACAAGTGTTATGGTAACAGCTTGAAATGCATGGCATTACCCCATCATTTCCTGTGCATTTGTGAGATTAGCCAGCCACCTCCTGTGTGCATCTTCAGTCCCACTGAAGGTCCCTATGCCTGCTTTCAGATAGTTGTTATCCCAGGAGCTCTGTTGGCAAGCATTTGACTTTTAAACAAGCTCACACATCCTTTGTTTGTGTCTGTTGTTTACAGAGATGGTCGTATTGAAGCTGTGGGCCAGGCAGATGTTATTCGCAGTCAGTTTTCAGGAGCAACATTTGAAAGAATAATCAACTGCTCTGGGAAGTGTGTGTTACCAGGTGGGTGTATTTTTTTCGTAATGATACAATGCCAAACGGTGGCAAGTCCTTAGTGACAAAGTAAATGTGGATTAAAGATCCCTCCACCCTTTTCCCTCCTTATTCAGTACTGGTTTGATATCTTGAGGGGCAGAGTATCATAGCTTCCTCATCAGGACTTCTGCAAGGAGAAAATTGCAGCATTTGGGATGGGGTTTTTTTGGCTTCATGATAGAGCTCTGTCTCCTCTTGTTTTATTTGTCGTCTGTTCCTCTGTATCACAGATCACAACAGTAACACAGCTGGCAGCCAAGTGACTTTTCAGCTTCCCAGCTCTTTTCTTTACCCTTTCCACCCATCAGATGCTCGGCCGCGGAGCTCAGTTTCTCTGTTCTGCCCACAGTCTTCACTTTTTCTAAAGAACACAGACTTAAAGTCTAATGAACTCTTTCAAAGTCTTTCATTTATCATTTCTTCCACAGTATGAAGATGTTACCAAAACAACATTAAAAACTCAGCAACTGATGCACTTACCTAGAGATGTTTTGCATAAGGTGCCACACCTAAAAAAATTGAAAGAAAATTAATAGCCTTTGAAGAAAACCCTAGATTTTCGGCTGGTTGAATTTTTACTTTTCTCTAACTGACAGAGGCTTTATAGGGGAGCTTCTGCTGTCCATTTAATTTGCTTGCATGTTCATAAGCTTTTCTTTTACACAGTGAAATAACCTGAGTGTACATTTACTTTGTTTCCTTTAGGCCTGGTAGATGCACATACACATCCAGTGTGGGCTGGTGATAGGGTTCATGAGTTTGCAATGAAGGTAATGGCATAAAATTACACAGCTAGATTTTTCTACCTCTTTTTTATGCATAATTATTTCTACTTTTTAGGGATTCTCATTTTTCACCTGTAGAAAAATATATGATTTCTGTCAGATAATCTGAGGGAGGAAGGGTGATTTTTGAGTACTGGTAGGCTGAGAGGAGTGTAACTGCAGCCTTTGCAGCCAGCCATGATACATTTTTGTATTAATGGAAGTAATATAGAAGTGCCACCTTCTATTACCATCTAAACCTTGGGCTTTGTTTTTTGTTTTTTTTTCCACATAAATGAATTTTTGAGCTAGAGATAGGCTTTCCCCTTGGGCTCAAAGAGAAGCAGATCTTCAGAGTAATTCTCTTTATGTTGCTTTTTACATAATTTCTCCACTTAATTGGAGAGGAGAGAGATGGGGAGGGGAAGGGAGAAGAATTAATGGGGATATTTTTCCCCCTCCTCTTGTTCTTTCTCACTGCAAAGAGACCTCGAGGCACTTTCCAGAATCCCTTGGATAGAAAATGCACATTTAATAGCTAATTGTATGGGGTGGGGCGGTGTTTTTTGTTTTCTTTTCTTCCCCAAGCTGGCAGGTGCGTCCTACATGGAGATCCACAAGGCTGGAGGAGGAATACACTTCACGGTGGAGCACACGCGGAAGGCCCCGGAGGAGGAACTGTTCATGACTTTCCAACACCGTCTTGAACGTATGCGCAGGGCGGGGTCTACATTGGTCGAGTGCAAGAGTGGATACGGCTTAAACCTAGAAACGGAGCTGAAGATGCTCAGGGTGATCGAACGCGCCAGGCGATCCATCGATATTGGCATTTCTTCAACGTACTGCGGAGCCCATTCCGTGCCGAAGTAATGTGGCTCGAGTTTTCTTGCTCTTATCAAGTATTGCTGCTTCACGCTGAAAATTGGCTGTTATTTTCAGAAAGGTTTCTTCTGCCTAGCCTTCCTAAAATACAACATATTTGAAAGAAAAGCCAGTATTTACAGAAGGCTCTCCTAAATTTTAATTTGAAGGAAGACGGGGAAGCATTATCTATTGGCTACTAAATGCCAACCTAAGCATTGCACAGAATCCCTGCCTACAGCTGATGCTCACACTGACCATAACGTGCATTATGGGTTTTCCTGTGTGGAAAGTTCTTCTGCTTGGTTTTGCTGCCACCCTTCACGTATAGTTTCTGACATGAGCTTTTATTTTGAGTAGCTAACAGAAAAACAACACTGTATTTAATCCTTACGTGCCTCAGTAAACAGAGCTTAGCTATGCTTCCATGCAATGAAGAATTGCATACACCTTACAGGTAGAGATGAGTAGATGATTAAAGTAAACATGCTTAATCGTAACTATTTCAATGGCTCAGGTAGATTACCATAACAAGCCTTTCTCTGACATGTTCTTCCTTACGATGAAAATAACATCTTCAGGTTCCCAGATTTCATTGTATGAAAGAAGCAATGAGGAGTTTTAGGTAGGCAGGTGAGAAATAAGACAGCTCTGTTTATAATGATCCTAGTTCCTGCTAAAAAGATATTTCCAGCCGTGGAACTTCCAGGCTCGCAGTATCTCCTGGTCTTTAGGAAACGAACATAAAAAGCTCAGAGCAGGGGGGGCAAAGAAATAACTGCTCTGTCATCCCCCCAGTCATCATTTTGAATCAAATTCATTATTTTGAGGATGTGTGATTCTCATTTCTTGGGGTTTTTTGACTGGCAAAGCTTCACTGAGCCCTTTTCATCTTTAGGAAGAAATTCTCAAAGTATTTCCTGAGCAGAAGTCTCTTGCATTAAAACAACAGCAGTTTTGAATTTTGGGGCATTATTTCCCCTGCCCCCCAAAAAAGCGAAACCAAGACTTATGTTTCCCTCTGTTTTTTCTTGTCTCTGGTCCTAATCTTTCAGTCCAAATTCCTCCACAGACTGCTGAGTAAAAGAAGAAAAGGGAGAAGGCTTGGCATGGTGAAAGCCTGAGCAACCCCAAGGGCTGTTTTTGTGAGAGGTGAACAAAAGCAGGGCCACAAGCTGGGTTCTGCTCTGCTTTGCAACTGCACAGCCTGTTTGTAAATCAGAACAGAATTTGGCTTCTTGGATTTTGTGCCACTATAAAGCTCCCAACTCGCCCGCAAGTGACAGTCGTATAATGAGGATTGAGATGTCACAGACATTTAGCTGCAGTTCGTCGCATATCCTTAGATCTTAAAATTGCAAAATACTAACTCAGCTGCATATTTTGTGGTTGTTTGCTCTTTCAAAGGCATTTACTGATCTCTCCTGGGTTATCTTTGTGTAACAGGGGATTCATTAATGGTTCTGATTTTGGCAAATCGAACCCTCGGGAGGCCCTGCTGAGTTAGAAAGAGTTATCTAGCTATATCACTCTGCGTAATATAAAAGGAGGAGAGGTAAATTAAAAATAATGATTTGTGCTGCACATCCCCTTTGAGCTGTGATACTTGTATAAAATTATTGCATGAATACTGTTTAGAGTATTTAAATAATCGTTAACATAATTGAAATGTGTTTTAGAATATAGTACAAGGTCAGAATATATGAATAGAATTAGTTTTAAAATTCCCATGTCTTGGTTAGCATTCAAGAAGGAAACCTTATAGAAATATTTAGTAATACGATCTATATTCTTTGAATGGGAAGTAGTTAGTGTTTGAGAGTACAAGAATTAGAGTAGTTTTAATTTTTTTAATCTGAAGGTTCTTGAGTGATTTGTATTTGCATCATTTTCTAAATCATCTGGTAATTGCATGTGCAATTTGAATGTTTGCCAGACTTCAAGGATGTTATTCTTAAAGGTCTGGAACATTTTCTTTCCATTAGAGGGAAAACTGCCACTGAAGCCACAGATGACATTATCAATAACCATCTCCCTAAACTGAAAGAGCTCCAACTAAGTGGTGAAATACAAGTTAACAATATAGATGTGTTCTGTGAGAAGGGAGTCTTTGATCTGGACTCTACTAGGAGAATTCTTCAAGCTGGAAAAGAGATAGGGTTACAGATTAACTTCCATGGTGATGAACTCCATCCAATGAAATCTGCCGAGGTACGTCTTTCTTAACATTCAGTCAAGCCATTTTTGCTTTTCACTTTGCTTTTGTGAGAGCTGAATCTTTGAAAGAATTGCAGTTTTCAAAACCAAGGTTTTCTTTTCTCAGACTTTATAAAATAGACCATTCATAGAGATACATTTCTATCAGACAATAAAAAGTGCAGCCCTTGTGTGGCTTTGGAGTTAAGGACATGGGAGGAACCCTTGACCTCTGGGACTAACATGCACTGCCTAATCAAACATTGACTTTGCTTATCTTCCACATGGGATACAGATGGGGAAGGTGGGCATCCGTGAACCCAAGAATGACAAAAACACGGTTTCTGTGCAACTTGAAAAATCTCTTTTCCTTAAATGTCCTCTTAGCAGCCACAAGTCAGATGTGCAGTGAGCACACATGGAGGGATGGTTTAGTCAAGAATAGGCTCCCAGTTATCTTGATAAAGAAAGTCACTTTGAGACTATGTTTCACCATCATTTAAGCATTGCTTCATTCCTGTGAGGTCTGCTAAAGTTATTCTCGACTATATTTAAAAAAAAACAACAAACCAAAGGAAAACAAAAACTTGGTTATCATTAAAGACTTTTTGGTGCTTCACCACTGAAGGCAGCAGTTACACTACTAGTTCTGCAACTGGTGTCAGTTTGGTCAACCCTTTTCTGCTCGATACTTTGTGAATGGGAGTGGGTAATGGTTTTATCCATAGCTGTCCCACGGTTTGCATGTTAATCTGTTAAAAACACCACTGAAGCTGCACTTCTACTTGGTTAATACCTTTTTGTGATCAACTTTTCCTGCAGTAAATTGACAAATATTTTGTTAGTTAATTTTCTTGTAGTAAATTTTATGAATTGTCTCTACCAGTCATTTGATAACAACACTGCTTTCCTGAATTAATTGAGAACAGTGAGTAATTTTCTTCAAAATGTGCTTAGCTTGGAGCTGAACTAGGGGCCCGGGCTATCAGCCACCTGGAAGAAGTGAGCGATGAAGGCATCACGGCGATGGCGAGAGCTAAGTGTGCCGCTGTGCTTTTACCAACAACTGCCTACATGCTAAGGTAAGGCCACTAGGTTGGAGGAAAACTTTTGTAACAGCTAAACTGTGATTGTGGTTTTACAGTCTTCTAATGTAAAAGCATAAGCTTGTATCTATGTCTTAAGAATCAGGCTGGATCAGTGAAGACATTCACAAATATGAAGAGCTGGATGGGCCTACTCATATCTTGGTTTTGGTGGAGATCCTCAAAAATGAAGCAATACCCTACTTCTGAGAATTCTCACAATAGATTTGGAGTGGCTCAGTCAACACTGGAATTTAACCCTTATGACAGGCTGAGCTGGTAATCAGGCATTCATTTAAGAAGACGACTAGACTGGCTTTCTTTAATCCATTTAGCCTTTGAAAACTGAATTGGCTTCTTTTCAGGCAAATTATATCTGCAATGTACGTATTTGCTCTCTTGTAGAAGGTTTTGATGGGAAATGATGCCTTTATTTATGTAAAGCACCGAAAGACTGTGGGTGGCATTTTTAAAATCTCATTTGATTTTACCCAGACAGCACTGAGGGGAATTGCCTTAAGAACACTGTTCCATAAGCAGATATTCCAGATAAGCATCAGCAGATCACCTGCTTACCTCTAATGCCAAAAATAAGCCAACTAGACAATGAGGACCACAACCCAGTAATGCCTTCCCTCCTGTGAAGAGATGATCCTTGAGCTGAATTTGGTTTATTTTCAGCAGCCACTTTCGGAGGCACCAAGCCTTGTGCTGTTCCCGCCTGTGTTCACATCTACATCTGTGCTTGTGTTTGTATTTGTGGTTGGCTCTCTGTGTCCTGCAGCAGTGCTTCTGAACCTCTGTCTGATCCTACAGCGACATCCACCACCAGAATAAAGATCTCAGGGAAGGCCTGTGGCCCTGCAAACTGCGCTCAGGCAGGGAGGTGAAGGAGACGACAGAGATGCAGCCACCTGTGGAAAAGGCTGCGACTGTAACTCAGGCGTAACTCCAGAGACTCCACTCGATGGAAAGTTTATAACCTCAGAATAAGCCTAAGATGGGGATAATAACGAGCCCTAGGAAATGAGGCCTCATTTGTCCCAGTGTCTGGTGCACTATTGATTAGTCCTCTCAGTCTAATAAGCTCTAAAAATGAAGAGGCCACATTTGAGATACTGGTTAAAAGAGCATCAGAGGGCCAAAAGCTGTGCAATGTATAGAAGAAGTTGCTGTGAGGTGATGTGGTACATCCTTTGCTGACCTCCCTCAGCTCCTTCAGCACCAATGGAGAGAGCTCAGACATTGAGATGTCCTGCCCCTATACTGACCCCTGGTTTTAAGAAAAGCAGCAGTGGTCAGGGCTTCACCTGATGGCCAGAAGTGGGCCAAAGAGTGCAGCTGGAGAGTTGCTTAATGATAAGTACATTCTTATTTTGGCCTTTGCTAACCATTGCGCGCAGCACTCCTAAGGAGTCTGGCAGCAGAGCACAGCAGAGAGTGCATTGGCTGGAAGGACATGTGAGGACGGGGAGCGGTTCTTCAGACAAATCTTTTTAATCACAGTTAACCCCCCGAGCATCGTATTGTGTGTGAACAGGTGGTATCATCTCATAAATCTGCTTAAAGGCTTGTATAGGGAGAGGATTGTCATATACCCTATATAAGCACTTCATTGAGATCTCATTTATTGCTCTTTTCTGTTAACTGCAGTGCTTTTAATACTGCTTTTTGAGCAGCAGTTGCTCTAATGTTTCATTTTTATTGTTACACTGGTTTATTTTGGGACACAATGTTTGGCACTAGTGGCTTTATAGCAACTCTGGCTAAAACTTCTTAGAAGACTGTATTTCCTAGTGTCCACCCTTGCAAACACCTGCCCAGATTAATCCAGTGGCCAATTTTGAAATGGCTATTCCAGATATTGAAGTTATTGAAGATATCTTTTGCATTAACATGGCTAAGTGAGAAAATCCTCTAATGTATACAACTTCAATTCACAGCCTCAACTTACCGTTTCAAATTGGCAACAGAATCGGGAAGGGACTATTGCATCGCTTATACTACTGCTCATATTTGGGAGCCTGTCTTTGAAGCTGTAAGGACTAGAAAATTACTTTCTTTTGAGAAATGGAGATTTTTCACCTTGTAAATCCTTTAGTGGCTGAGGTCTGGCTAAATACCAGGATTCCAGTGGCCTGGAGCCCGATGCTTGATACTGGCTGCTGCTACATGCTGTTACTGCAAAAGCAGTGGATCACAGTTCCCACTTACGCTGTCCATGGAGGTGTTAGGAGAATTTGGCCTTTTGTCTCCAAAAGGATTAGTGTAACTGAAGGCATGAACTTAGCCAAACCGAGTGATGACATTTGCTCTTGTAATCTGTCATATAGTAACTAAGTGAATTGTACTGACAAGTGTCTTTTTCCCACTAGACTGAAGCAACCTCAAGCTAGAAAAATGTTAGAAGAAGGAGTTATAGTTGCTCTTGGCAGTGACTTTAATCCTAATGCTTACTGTTTTTCAATGGTAAGCTATGCCTCATACTTATGACAACATAAAATTATGAAATCTCTTACCAGTACAGCTTGTGTATGGGTTCTGTACACTTAAAACCGTCTTCTTGTCTGCAAAGAGAGCTGCATGCCCAGCTTAGACAATTACGCATGCTTTTTTATGTGGGTTGGTAGTTTTTGCCAGAAATTCTTGGAACCAGAAGGGCTTCTATTCTTCATATGCACCAAAAGGCTTATAAAACAGGCTCTCAATGTTCCTGATTTTAGGGTTCTCATTTTGGAGTTGGCAAGGTTTACATCATGCAGGACAACTCCTTTTGGTACACAAGGAGGGAGGAGAGTGCTTGGGATTTTTGAGACATAAACAGCTTGATTTGTGTTACTGGTAACTCCCATTTTCTACTCAACTTGCCCGCTAGCCTATGGTGATGCATCTGGCCTGTGTGAACATGAAGATGACCATGAATGAAGCACTAGCTGCTGCCACCATTAATGCAGCCTACGCTCTGGGAAAATCAGACACTCATGGCTCCATAGAGACTGGCAAGCAGGGGGATCTTGTTGTCATAAATTCATCAAGGTTTGTTCTTCTGTTGTCATCTGAAATGTGGCGTAACATAAGGGACATTTTTTTCCACCATATAATGGATAGTGAAGATGTTAGTGAATTTCTCGTGCTTTAGATGTTATTTTCATATGAAAAAAATAGACATTGCTAGCATTTTAGACCCACTTTCATTCTCCTTAATCAGTGCAGTTGAACACAAAGCCTAAAACTTTTGGGGCTAATATTACAAATAATCCATGCCTAATTACAAATTACCTAAGGATAGGACCTGTTTATTTTGTGGAAGTATTTCTCTGCAGAGTCATACATTAACTCACTGCATTCGTGCAACAAGAGACCAACATGTAAATGTGGAATAGTATTTTCTGATGGTTCAAACAAATCTCTTATAGTTGCCAGGTATGTTAGGTATGTGACTTGCTTTTAATCAAGTCTGGCTATTCTTAAACATCTTCTTGTCTTTTTAGGTGGGAGCACTTGATTTACCAGTTTGGGGGACATGAAGCATTGATAGACTACGTTATAGTTAAAGGAAAAGTCATCTATCAAAATGAGAGGTGTGGGACAATGAGCAGTTACTGAAAGAAGACAGTAATTTAGGAAGCTACTATAATAAAATTAGCATGGAATATGTCAAAGCAACAGACAAATCAGATTTGGATTTACTGGTAAATTTCTCGCCTGCTCACCTTACCAGCCCTCTTCTTCAAATAAACTTTACCAAGCATTACCCATCTGCTGCATCTTCACATCCATTGTCCTTCTCTCCACCGCATGAAAAGAATTTCTAATTATATCCATTTGAAATAAGACTATTTCCAAAAATGGTTTCCAATACTATTTTAATCTATAAATTTATTATATTTGAAAAATACCCCCCAAAGGCCACCAGTGAATGAAGAGGTTTGGATCCAGGTAAGATTTAAAGGGAAGAGTGATGTTAAGGAACCTGTAACAGAGGGCTCAGGCATGCACATTTGGAATGGCCTTTGGCAGTGCTGGGAGGCCACAGAATCCCATGGAAACGTTCATAGCTCCTTGGTCTGCTCCATCTCAAACTCAGCAGGTACCAGGAACCTCAGTTGTGGTAGGAAGCACAGTATCTTACCCCTCAGAAATACCGAGTCCAAGATTGCATAAGGAAAGCCTCAAATATTCTCTTGCTGGACAAGAACAGACATTTCATGGCCTGAAACTACTGCTGGGAGGAAATTCTGCTCTCATGTACAAGCTCTGACAGGAACCTCAAACCACGTGCTTGCCTGACCAGCCCAGCCAAATTCAGCAGCCATTTAGGAGCATGCCCCAGGGCTGTAATTAGTGGCAGGTTTGCAGTTAGAGGATGTGGCTACACTGAAGTGGCATCGCTGGCTTATGTGGTTCCTGATGGCCAGCTACATGGCCCTGGCATTGCCACTGCAGCTGTGCAGCTGCCAGGGAAGGCACAGCACACTGAAATGCAGGGAGAGTTTGTTGGCTTGTTTTTAAAATTACTCATTTCAGTGATGATGTTCACCATGCTGGCTCCCACGGTGGTTGGGAGCAGGATGTAGGTACCAGTGCGGCAGGTAGGAACCATACTGCTTAGCCATAACAAAAGGCCGAAGATAAATTATTTACCCTGCAAGATATAAGCCTGGCTGTTTGTTCATAGGCTTGATTTTAATTAATACCTGATTTTATACAAAATAGAACAGTTTCAGGGGGAGACTGAGATACGTCTGCTAGAGAGAACCTTGAGCTGAAAGGGTAGGGACTTAGTTAGCACATGAGGGAGAGACGGAGGCTGGAAATGCTGCAAATCAGGTGCAGAGGGAAGTAGCTGAATTGGGAGCTCACATACCACAAGTAGGCACCCTAGTTCCTAGGTCTTCTGGCCAGGTTAGGCATCTCCCTACAAGATTGCTGAAGGCAGTAGTCCTCTCCTCAGGGCACATTTAACTCAGCAGGTCTCAGACACACGAGCGTAGCACTACACCAGCCCCTTGCAGTACAGCTGATAGCCTTGGAAGAGTTCCAGCCCACGCTGAACCCCCTGCAACCATGGGCACCAGGCCAGCAGTGCCAAGGCTGGGGGTTGTTAATCAGCTTTTACATGTCATCACTGCACCATGATGTGAGGTCTAGGTCCTGACTCTTACCTTGCAAATTAAAGCCTGTGCCAGAGGTCAACATTGTGGCACAGAGTGCATTGCAACCAGAGCCCCTCTGTGGGGATGAGGCCCTGGGCAGCCAGGTATATGCTGGGTAAGCCATGGGAATGCAGAGCTTGCACTGGTTCATGTCCATCAGTCCTACACCTCCTCCTCCTCCTCCCCCTTTTCCTGGCCTCTGTTCCACCTGTCCTCCTTATTTCTCAACTGAACTTTTGGTTTACATTTTCATTAGCACATATGACAGGAAAAGAGATTGCTACAGCTGTATGTAAAGCCTCAGTTTATTTATTGCAGGTCTAAGCCCATAGCTCTTAGAAAGCTGCATCAAGTGCAGTCCATTACCAGAATACAATACATTTGTTCTGGGGCAATGATCTCCATAGCACATTTTTATGAACACAGATTTTCTGGTTTGTGAAGTACCTGCTCTAAAAATGCTCTTGTCATAACAAGAACTTGTACCTCACACATGATCTGCAAAAGAAAGGAGAATTAAGTGTAAAGATAACTTTGCTTGTGGTAGAATGAATGAGACTACAGCAGTTATCCAAAGGGAAAAAACAGTGAGAAAATCAAACGTAGGCTGTTTGATATCCTTCACAGATGAAGGGAAAAAAAGGGAAGAGCTGAAAAACAAATACAGGAGGCCCTGTACAAAACAT